TGGCAGTAAATTTTGTCGTGATCTTCCGGGTTGCTATGCTATGGTGTCCAGTGCTTCGGTGGAATGTACCGCATGCATCATTACACATTCTGCCGTAATACATTCCCTTGTTGCGTGGTTAAATGAAGCCAGGGAGAGCTAATCCTCATCAGAACATTTTATTCCCTAGGTATCAGGTTTAATAACATTTCCCTATCGCGTTATTCTTCCAGGTAACCACTTCCCACGAGATGTGCATGTAAATGGGTTAAAATTCAGCTTTGCTTGTTATCGAGTGTCTGAAGTTGACACACAACCAGGTTTCGAAATCCTCGATCACATTTTTACTGCTCATGTATGAGACGACATGAGGTGATGCAAAATATTGCTACTGTCATGTTACTTTATGGTGACGTGGCCAGCACAAAGAGATGAGGGGAGTAGAACTCGATGACGTCATGTATCGTGGAGGGGTAGGCATGATAAGACGTGCTGTTTTCAAAGTGTGACCGGCCTGCCCCTTTTTTGTATGTTACTTGGAATTTGTTGTTTACTTTAGGCGACATACAAGAAGAACCGGTGCTTTCGTCCTTGTTAATGTTACCACGCTCCCCACACTCGACCCATGACTCGTACGCAGCTGTCAGCTAACTGGAAGCTAATTTTGAGAGTGGACTCCACCCGAATGACCTGCGCAAACAACTCGGTTGTCTCCATAAAATAAGAGGACTGTAGTATAAGTGATCTTTATGCAACGTTCTACACAGCATTTTTGTAAGAAGCAGTTGTGGAGTACATTATAGCTTTTCAGTCACTTTAATTTCTTGGAACGAAGAGCATCGAAACGTGTTTTTCGTCACTAGATCGTTTGATATTACTAGTGACCTTGGATTTATACCCGTTTTCTAAGAACATTTAAACGCTTGTCAGTAAAAGCATTTCGTTTTTCTGAACGAGAAGTGTTTTTGTTATGTGCTACGTGGATAAAACTCACGAAGTAAACGCGTATAAGGGAGACCATTCTCGTCCATGTGGTGGCAGTTTTCATTTCCAGAACCAAGTAAAGGATTCGTGCGAATTTAATTTTGGCTATGTTGTTTAATTTGAACTTCACACGAGTTTCCTAAAAAACGACATATCACAAGAAAGATTAAATTATGTTAAAACATGTACCTCGTTGAGACCTGTAATACCCACTAGAAAAAATCGATGGGACTGTATTGAGCTCAGCTTTCTGTAGAGAAGACTGCCTAACACTGGGTTTTTTGCGGACCAACACCTAATAACAACTATGTAATTTGTAGTTACTGAGCGAGATATCTGTACTAGATTAGCTTTACAGCAATGATTTTATGTCTGCAATTAATTGAGATCAACGCCAATGAAGTAACCTACGAATAATCACAATAAACTCATACCTGTTGGTTCTTGTTGAGTATGTACTTATTTATTAATGTCTGAAAAAACCATTCTTTCTTTTACGTAAGTTCCAGATACGTACTTTTAGAACAGAAGAGTGGGATACTGTTAGAACAGATTATGGATACATCAAAGACGTGGCCAGTTTCATGAAAAGTGTCTATATGACCTTCGAATATTGATGCTCAAAGTTTATAACCTCTTTTATCGGAGGACTTTCAATAAATCTGTTCGTCTTGTTGCGCAACACAAAATGCGCAGTAGTTTCAAAACGAAACGAACGACGTGGAGTGTGATGGGAAGGCGATCATGAATGGTCCGAGCAGTAGTTTCAAAACGAAACGAGCGACGTCGAGTGTGATGGGAAGGCGATCATGAATGCTGGTCCGGTAAGGATTTGGAAGGGTGCTGTAGTGACTTATTTTGAGTGTTCAGCCACAGCATTCAGCTGGGAAGGCTGACGACAACAACGTAAAATCTTATGAAAACGAAATTAACTGTTTTCTGTCAGGTTGTTAGCTAACTGAGGCTGGAGCTGGCTAACGATGTATTTTATGTGATAGTTCTGCTGTGTCTCAGTGTATGTAGAATACCGGTGAACCACGAAAGTAAAGTTCAGGACTTATCATTTGTTTTTTCAGTTTTAACGCTCCGCCCCTGCTTTCGTATTTGATTTTAAAGTGACCCAGGATGTTTGCAGGTGAATTTTGGCTTTTAACGAATATTCTCGAAAATTTGACTTGTCACAGACATTTATATTACATTAAATGTTGGTGCAGATGAGCCAGTTTATCTATTTTTTTATGTTGGCACCGTGCAACGCGGGACGGGCGTCATTAGTGTCGACTGACATCCATACCGTCAGATCAACTGTGCTGTGTCTCGCTGTAAAATAAATGCAATATTGGAAGTTTGTTTTGATATTTATACCATCTGCAAAAGTTTACTTTTCAGGTAAATTGGGGTTTTTGATTGGAGGATAGGGTTAGCAGGTATAATTTATGGATTTGGCACCCCTGAATAGACTTTCTGAGGTAATTTAATTGCACTGTCTTACCAGTCACAGAATTTACAGTGCTGAGTGGAGACCCACTGAGTTCTGAGTAGAATATTTAGGTTTAACACACACAGAGAGAGAGAGAGAGAGAGGAAGGGTGGGGGGATGGAGTACTTTGCATAATGAGGAGACTTGTAATTTATACTGTTCGTCAGATATTGTTAGAATGACCAAATCAAAGATGGTGTGGACAGTGAATCATCGAATTTCATTAAGGGGTGGAATATCCTAACCAGGTGAGCGCTTTTATCGGCTTCTGAAGGCTCACAGTCTGATGTTCCAACCGGGCACTAACCCTTTTTCTATACAAAGTGCTGTATTCTTGTGTCAGATAAGATCGATTTTGCACAGTAACGTAGTCGGGACGAATTTGTCGGTCTGAGGACAGTTCGAAGTATAGTCGGCGCGTAGTTTGTGGCCGGTGGAGAAGCTTGCGGCCGGGCCTACTCTGTGTACCTGAGGTGGCACGGTCAGTGCATTTCTTTGTTTGGGCGCTCAGTCACAGCATTATACTATCGCAAAAGAGACTCGCTCCTAGCCTTCCCCTTGAAAATTCCACCGGCCAAAAACTACTGCGCCGACTATTCATAACGGCAAGGGAGCATATACTGCGCACACTGTAAACATTGTTTCTCAGCTGTAGTACTTTGTAGCTCGCTGTCTCATTTCCTGTGTTACGATGTCTTTGGTTTACATAGTAAGTGCGTTTGTTTTTCTGCTGTTCACAAGCAAGTGACGTAGGCAAAGCGCGCTGTTTGTTCCCGGGTACAGGACACTTGACTGTCTATAATGACTGCTAATTGATATAAGAATAGAGCGTTGTGTCTGAGTTCTCGCAGTACAATTTGACTATTTGTAACTTAATTTATTTTAGAATAAGATGTGTTTGGAACGTGTTTTCATATCAATTAAAAATGCTTAGCGAATCGATCGATATCACAGGACGATGCTCAAAATAAATGGATGTTCGAAGCATATGATGCCTTGCAAACAATGCGACACTCGTTCTTATTTTAATGTTACAGTGCAGTAGTGAGACAGACACTTTGAGGGCAGAGTTCAATTTAGAAAACACGTGACGTCTTTTGTTTATATTTTCCCATGTTGACTTATGTTATCAAGGGATGATGAAAAGACTTCACTTACATGATTAAACTCAGAGTAGAAGTTTACAGCACAAATGGACAGTGTTTTTAACGATGCATCTCCATCGTAGCATGAAGCAAATTCTGTTCTTTTCATGCTACACACTAGCTGTCTCATTTGGAAGCACTAGCCCTTAAGGGCTGGGTTTATTTGGTGTGTGAAGATTCAGGGTAAATGAAGCATGTCTCGCCATCCTTGCAACATTTTACGTGACTTTTCTTCAATACAAATTATACCCCTACGTCTGAGTTGTAATAACCAAAGAAGGTTACCGGAATGTAAAAAATTAATAACAAACACTTAGTCAAGCATTTTATGGTTACCGGAATGTAAAGAGTTAATAACAAACACTTAGTCAAGCATTTTGATTACCATCTTGTTGGACAAAGTTGGCACACTTTCGAAGAGAATGAGGAAAGGCTATGGCCCTTGTGTTAAAATTGTTTTCCTTCGTCTGAAATGGAATGTGAAAGCTGTAAGGTACACTCTGTGTTATTTGCAGTCTGTTCATAACAGGGCTGCCATTTTACGTGCAGTGTTAATATTCGTGATTAAAGTGCAGTTCCGTTCAAAGGCTTAACTGCCTACGTAAGCAAATATTATTCGTATTACTTATGTGTAAGTAAACGGGAAACCATGTTGTGTTAATGCACGGTCCTGTTAGCCAAATGCGACAATTCGTGACACAGCCAAGACATTGCGAGAATGAAGGGCTTTTAAGAGTCGAGCTTGTTTCTGACAAATGTTAACGTTTTCGGAAACTGTACTATTATAAATTGTGCACAAACATTTATCTTTAAATTGTGTGCATATTAAGTTATCGGTCATAGTAGCCACAGCGGATTCTTCTCAGAACTTGTTTCTGTCCTCCTTTCATTGTTTTATAGGCCTGAATGTCTGCCATAATGCTCATGTGTCTTTTGCCGTTAATAACTCTCGAATCAGTCGGCGGATTTTAACGAAACGTTATTTGAATATCATGTCATTAGAGGTCGCGCATGTTACCGCAATTTCCTGCCATTTGTAATAATCACATGAAGGTCCAGGACTTCGGAGGTGGAAGTGACCCTAGCGCCACTCTGTGTAGTGTTCTGGAATGTTGTCTATAAAATATACAGTATCAATTTCCGTGATGGAAAATTGTTTGATATGGATAATTAATGAACTCCTGGGGACATGCATTACTGTACGAAGGTAGATCATAAACTTACTAACAAATTATTCATGAATGCATAATTTTATGTGTTTACAATTACAGACATTGCGACGGCGTGGGTGTTTTGAGGATTTTTTTTCTGGCTAATGTAGCGTAATGCGAATTTTTGTACGTAAGCGGGCAGTTTCTGCTCGTCCGTCCCACGGTGTATATATTGAAAGCATTGGCTGTGGGATGTTGCAGGGGCTAAGATGTTGTTGGTGGCCGGCGGGCCGTGCGGGCCTGGTCAACCCTCACACCACGGCTCGCCACGGACCCGGTTCGAGTACGATGATAACGAGTGGGACATTGGGATAGGCGACCTCATTATAGACTTGGATGCTGATATAGAGAAGACGAACGAAAAGAGTGGGGGGGTGGGATCAGGGGGAACCACCGCCAACAGTAACAACTCGGGTATGTCTTCTGCGACGAGTGGTACCGGCAGCAAGACCGGGAAGATGGCAGTGGAACATTCTGCCACGGTGGATAAAGGACTCAAGATGAAGATTAAGCGGACAAAGCCTGGTACGAAGACCTGCGAAGCCAAACATGAGATAGTGAAGCCGGGTGAACAGAACGGCGGAGAGGCTGGTCTAGGGGATGGCAGTAAGGGGAAGCACCCACCGCCTTCCAGTGTGAGTGGGGGTGGGCTCAGTGGAGGCAGCAGTGGGAGTGGTAGTAATAGCAGTAGCAGTAACAGCAGTAGCACAGGCAGTGGTAGTGGCAGTAATGGCGGAAGTGGGAACAGTAGCAGCAGTAGCAGTAGCAAGCGGGGATCGAGTGGACACCGCAGAGACAAGGCGAGGGACAAACACGGGGGGACAGACAAGGCAGTGACTAAACCAACGCCATCTCCTGCGCCACCTCAATCCGTCGCGACAACTCCAGACGTGAACGGTGTAGTGCGACCAGCGGTGTCTTCGCTTACGCAGGCGATGGCTCAGACCGTTCAGCAGACGCCGGCGCCACCCCAAGCACCGGCACCGCAGCAGCGGGTGGTGTTCCCCGTGTCTTCGGGTCCGGGGCCCCCTGCCCCCGTCGCTCCTAATGCTCCGGGCCCGCCTTCCGTGGCAACTGCGGTCTCAGTATCAGCTGCGTCGGCGACCGTGAAACCGGAGCCACCCAAGGTCCTGGTTTCCACATCGACGGCGGCTGCGCCAGTGGAGGAGAATAGATCCACTTCCCCTCCTCCACCCAAAAAGATAAAGACTTCTACAGAACCCAAGGTAATTACAGTAGCAAGTACAGGTACTTCGTGTTTGTTGCTGTCTGTCTTTGTGTAAGTAGTCTGGGGTTGGATGCCCAGAAGACTCTCCTACTTCAATTATTCCGTGGTCTGGGTGACAAATTATTTATTGAAGATATCTGTCTTCTGGGTTGTTGCGCTGCGATTCATCGCCCTGATGACGGAGGCAGTATGACCTCCGAAACGTTGGTAAACATCGACCAGACTACACAGGGCAACAACCCAGAAGACAGAAATCTTCATACTCATCGCCCTGATAACGGAGGCAGTATGACCTCCGAAACGTTGGTAAACATCGACCAGACTACACAGCTCAAGAACCCAGAAGACAGAAATCTTCATACTCACCTCTCTAAAAAACTCACATCTTACAAATTACTTATTGCTTCCATTTTTAACAGCTTTTAAATGTTGTCATTTGAACATGGACATTTGAAATATTTAATCCTCCATTGTAATTGAACGTTTTCATTCCGACTTGTATAGGAACGTTTAGAGTGGCAGAAGGTACTTTTATGGTAACCTTGTCTTACATTCCATCAGACAGTCCCCTTGCCTGTGATACTGGCTACCTGCAAGGGACAAACAATATTGTAATGACCTGGGCAATAAATTTTACGACTTGTATAGCCGACTCCATTGTCAGGTATGATCAGGTGCCTTTTAAGGTATTGTTTGGCAGCATAAACATCGACTGACTGCCTTTTCGGTACAATGAAAGAGTTCTCTCTTTTCGCGGCTCGAGATGTGTTTCGTGCCTTCTGTTTGCATTACCTGTATTATGTAGGATTTGTTTTCTGTGTGTTGAAAAGTAGATACCTGATATTGGAAAACAGGTTTTGGAAATTGTATTATTTAACAGTTCCTATGGCTGTGAGATATGTTTCGCTCGTTGGAAAACGTCAAATCAAGACGTACAACGCGTCTAATTGATGAACACTTGGAAGGATGCATAGGAATTGCAACACACATTAAATCTGATATCGAAAGATTAAAAAAGCGAAAGTTGTGTTAGATATATCACTAATAACCGATTTTGTTAAGGAAAGGTATTAAGTAATAAGTGAACCGGTTTGCTGTATAGGCCCAGTTTTGTACCATTTTTTAAAACAAAATGACGCACTATTTCAAAAAAAATAGTTTTCTCATTTGTACCGTTGCGGGCCGCGAGTCGATAAGAATGGGCGAATGTGGCCCCCGCGCCTGTAGGTGGTTGAGGCCCCCCGTCGGCTTCATATTGAATCGGGTCTCTCCCGTTTCTGTCCTGTCTCATCAGGCACCTTAGGTTGATCTTAGCAGTGTGCCTGTTTCCACCGGCACGGTGCCCAGAGGCTTTGTTGGGAATTGGATAGTTGTCCGTTCTCTGCAAATATTCGCGTTCGATTTCTGTGTTTTGTACAATTCTATTATTTCCTTTGCGTATGACTTTTTTTGTCGAATTTCGTGTCATGCTGTCTTTTGTGTGTGTTCAACTGTACTGAAGAAGGTTTATTTTATCACTCGTCATTAATTTATTAATTATGTATAGTAAACCCCAAGTTGGACACCCCTATATCCTGGATACCCTTTTATATTAGACACTTTTAATTGGAACCGGCGAATATCCTATAATTTTACATGTCCACAATACGCTGTATCTTGGGCACGCTTTTATCCAAGATCTTGGACACCCCTTTTGTTGTAGGTTGGACATGTTCATGCCCTTTGCTTCATTGCTTTTCAGGAAAACGTATACAGTTACATATTTTGTTATTTTGAATATTTTTTTCTACTGAAAAATGAATTCTATTTGGAGGATTAGCTGATGGTTGAGGGTGGGAGACATTGAACCCATCATTGGAATGCAGTGAAAGTGTTTAGTTATTCTTTCGTTGAACCCTTCATTGGACTGGGGTATTGCAAATACAGTTTTAACTCTTATCAGCGCTTGCATTTGAGTTCAGAATGTGTTGACAGAAGTGGGATTCGTCTTTTTGCAATGGGGAAACGAAAATTGGTGGAATTATCTTTGGAAAATGTAATTGATGCTGGGGTGTTATGTGCAATGCATGGGAGTGAGTTTTTTTTAAAAAATGTCATTAATTCTTAATTAAAGTAAGCCTACAATAGTTCGTCAAAGAAGGAAATAGGTTACTTTGTCATTCCCTCTATCTTGGACACCTCTGTAAGGTGGACATATTTTCGTGGAACCGCCAAGTGTCCAACATAGCGAGGTTTTACTGTATATAACTCCTAATACTACGGTTAATTGATTATTTGAGAGCGAATCTTTCCACGGGCATTCCGGAAGATGCAGTGGCATCTTGAGGGGAACGGCAGAACCAAGAGAGAGAGAGAGAGAGAGAGAGAGAGTTATTTTCTCGGAAGGTCATTCACTGTTGTCTGTGAAATGGTTATCTGTATTTAGTAGAATGTATGCAAGAAGAACGACTATTGAATATTGTGTGTCGAGTTTGTGTGGTGTGTGATTGGCGCAGAGATAACGGAATTCCTGCATGTTAATGTAGCCATCTTGGAAACTTTCGATACTTCTATTGACAATCGAGAATCACGGGATCGACCTTTGTCAAATGGTTCTGATACCGTCGTAAGAAGGGGATGTGGTGCAGGGAGTTTGGAATCTCCTGCTTGTTAGCTTAGTTCTCGCCGTCGGTCTGCTGAGGCATGTTTTTTATATTCACAACCAAACGCTTGGAGACGTGAATAGAGCAGACTACAAAACCTTGTCTGTTAAGTACAGCGCAGTCACCGGTGTAGTTGACTTCCCAGCTGCTGGCACGACTGCAAAAAGCAGGTGGGTTGATTTTATTGTTTTTGTGGAGTGATGCCTTCTTTGCTATTGGGAACAACCTGAAATGCCTGGTGGTGAGTAATCATGCTGTTGCTGCCGAGAAATGACTTGCCTTCAACTTTATCGTTACATGTTCATTCAATCGAAAACCTGTTTATAAACATCGTGTACCGAAGCCGTTTTACAAAAATCATCAGATTGGTTTTGAGTATAGGAAATTCCTCGAAATCCATTATCGTGTTTACAAGAGCCCGCTATTCGATCCTGTCCTGAGCTACTTGAATTCAGTCAACACCCTCCCATAATTTGTATTGAATATCCATTTTAATATTATCTTCCCATCTATGGTTTGGTCTCCGAATTGCCTCACGTTCTCTGCCTAAAATTCTGTATGAATTGTTTTGACGTAAATGCGTCTATATTTTCGAGTCAGTGTCATTCGGCAAAAAGTGAAACGAAAAAGTGTAACTTCATTGTTATGTTACCTTGGAAACGTCAGTTGTTTACTCGGCATTGTTGTTACCTATAAAACATTTCATTACATTACCTTACATTACATTCAGCTACCACAGACCCATCTTAAGCGTAACTAATTCAAGTTAAATAAGCAAAATCCTAATCAAACTTTACTCAATTGTAAAGCGGGTATAAAGGAAATATTTAGAATAAAGCCAATATATAAACTTCCTTTCCGTATAGACGTATTTACGTCTAATTCTCCGGAACCTTGGTTCCACTATAACTTTTTTTATCTTGTAACACGTTCTTCGCATCGTTCTTTGTGATTTGGTCACCCCTTTCATTCGTGCTTGCCATTGAGGACTACCAAGCGAACAGTAAAAGCGTGCATAAGCACTGTTTCAGAAACAAGGAAAACAGCTTATGATTTTTCATATCCGCTGCTGTTGTCGTTTGAAACGTGACAGGATCTCCACTTGGGCTGGTGTTTATGCTTTTTATACGGTGTGCCGTATTTACGGCTGTCAGGTGACCTTATTGGCTACCTACAGTGGCGACACTGACTCATGTCCAACAGAACTTTGCTAGGTTTGCTAGCCTAGTATGCGAGCTTTGAAAGGAAATTCGTTTTTGCTGGATTGGTTTTAGTTTTAGTAAGTCTACGCTAATTCTGACGTTTTGTGGCCGCGATTAAAACACGTAGAAAGAAACACAAGACTACAACCCACTATTTATCTATCTCACTTTCCTGACAGTCCTGGGGTACCTGTGTATAGATCATCCATTGTTCTAATTACACTTAATCCTTTTATATGTCTGAATGAGTATTTTCCAGAGAACTTTGTTTTCAAACACTGACAATTTATGTTCTTACCCAAAGGTATGAGATGGTTTCACACCCATGCAGAATAACCGGTAATTTTATGTTGAACTTTGGTGTGTTAGAAACAAACATTTCCAGCACTCATTCTGCTCGTAATTTTAATACAGACTCCATTTATATTTGTTGGTGTTCCGAGATACGTGAATTTTGAATGTATATTTTTTTATATTTGGACGAAAGCCATTGGTTATATGGCCCCAGAGAACGCAGAAGTGTGTGGCTATAAACACAACGGTGTAGTCGCATTGCAAAACGTTCTGTTGAACGAACAATTCCGTTTCTTTCCTCATAACCGTTCGTTTTGGTTTGAATATGACTTTCTTTTTAATCTTCTGGCGTTTGTGTGTTTCGGAGAGAAACCACATACAAGTCGAAGCCATTCGGCACGTGACTTGCCCGATATAATATCTGTAACGAGGGTGTTAAGGAAGTACACGGGTTGACGTCACTTAATTTCGTTTTCCAGAGCTTCTCGCCAATCACGCAACTCAAAATAGTTTATCTGCTTGTAGGTCGGGTGGCGTACTTGATAAAACCGTCATCAGAGGCAGCATTTTCGTTTGGCGCATGCGCGACAGCTATTCGCTACTCGTCTGTGTTTTGTTGACAGTTTTCTTGATTAAAGCCGTACTACTGGACTTCTGACAGTGTTAAGACAATGTATTATTTACAATCTGTTTATCTTTGCTAATAGGGGGCAACAAACCCTAGCTGTAAAATATTATTTTTCGTGTTGTCGAAACATGAAGACTAGAATGTGGCGCTGACTGTTGATTTGCGGATTGGCATAAATTTAACCTGCGAACTGGTAACTGTACGTAAACCACCGTTTGACTAACAAAAGGAA